GCTAGAAGTAATAGCACGATGGTGTCACGCGCGCTAACTCACAAGAACTTCCCCAATACTGTAATTAATCAAAACGAATTTAAATAATTAAGCGGGCGCCACCTAGGAGGAATCCAGTCGGATCGTCGTCATGGCGACAGGCTGTCTCTCCCTCGCTCGCCGCCATCCGCTCTCTACACAGCAGGTTGATCGTCGGGGGCCACGCCTACCCGACGACAACAATGCCGTTGCCGCGGAAACATTGTAAGTAGTTAATTGAATGATAGATGAGAAAAAATCGCAAATCTTAAACTGTCATGACTTTGAATTGTAAAGTGCCGTACAAAAGCTTTAAAAAAAGAAATTTAAAAGCTAAAAAAAAATTCCTACAAGTGCATATGCCACGTGGGTGTTCTGCTAGGAAATAATGCGCAAGATCGAAGAATGATATGGAATAACTAAATGTCCAACTGATTACGAAAAATTGCACGCACGTCTGTAATTTTCAACTGCAATCAAGTTGGATTACTGAACAAGTAATTATAGCGACTTGTGATGTAATGTTATAGTAGCTAGTTGCTGCACAGCTGTATGCACACAAGTCGTTCATCGATCACCTGTGGAGCTGAGAGATCTGTCAGAGATAGGTCTAACGGCAGAGCATTGCAATCCTCCTCAATCGGGCGTAGCGGTGTATTAACTAGGAAAGAGAGATAGAAGTGTACACTGCAAAGGCTATATATATATATATATATATATATATATATATATATATATATATATGCGAATTTCTCTATGCTGCTCTGCGAAGGGACATGCTGGGGAACAGAGAGATGTACACACACCAGCGTTCTGCTAGACAAACATAATCAGCAATAATAGGCAAGCACAAGTGAAAGTGCTATAGTTGTCACGCAAGAGATCTTATCAAGAATGTACAGAGATTCTGCATGCATCGACGATGCTCTTACAGGTGCCACTGTCACAGCCTGAGGTTGGCGTGAATCCTGCGAGGTGAGTCATCATCGGTGGCAATCCGTCGGTGGCGTACTTCCATTCCGCGGAATCCGGTGTCTGCAGGATTGCCCGTCTCGGTTGGGAAGCCATCAATGCAGAGCTACGTAAAAAAAACATGCATTAAACAGCTACTATACTGCAGTAAAGCTCTTATCTGACCATGAAGCACCTAATTGACATCTATATTTACTCCGTGGAGGCTCCAGCAAAAGTTCACCGCAACAAATTACAATGTCTGAGTAGACCGGCAATACGAAACAGCTCCTAACTATAACATCTACATTTCCTCCAGCGAAAATTCGCCACGATAAACGACAATGTCGTACTCGTAGAACTCGTCGAAACGAAATTTAGTTATAATCCTTGCATTTACCTGATGTCTCCGCTCAGCAAAGGATCGAAGGTGTTGTCCGGAGTGAAGCCCCAGATGCGATCGGGCGTCGTCTTGAGTACCATCCCGTGCTTCACGTCGGGGGACTGCAGAATGTAGTGCGACGAGTAATTCGTCATGGACGGCGACTGGTACTGTTGAAAATACTGCACACGTGGGCTGGCCACTACTCTCATTGGGCTGTACATGCTTGCTGGGTTTCCTTCCACATCCGAACCTGTAAAAAACGTTGCCGATGCACATGTACCTCAATCAGGAAGCAAGGGTAGAAGGTGTTCTCGTAGCTTGAAGCTTGAAGCTCAAAGCTCGTAGCAATGTCTGCATCACACGTGTCACATATCCAGGGCGTTGATGGCATGCCATTGCTGCAACAGCTGGGAAGCAAGTTAATTTGCACACAGTGATGTATAGACCGCTGAACATGTATGGGGTGAGCAACACTAGAAATAACAGCAAAAAATAACAACAATGACAGCTATTCAGCTGTCCCTCTTCGTATGAAATACACCCCTGCACACAGTCTTCAAAGCAAAACATGCTAATATTCCATACGGTTAGCTAGAAAAGACCTTCCCAGATGCCAAGAAAGGTCAGGCAATTTCTCTAACGACATCGAACTCATTCTGAGATCGTACCTGCTAAGGCGTGTGTGTCGATCGCGTTATTTTTGCGCGGAGTAAATGGCAGCCAGCTGCTGTCTAGAAGAGCACTGCCTGGATGCACCTTGTGAAGCATCGCTGCAGACGCCAGGGCGGTGGCAGCGTTTCCACTGTAGACACTGTGTGCTGCAGGTTGCTTGTCTGACACGTTCAGGGAGTGCGCAGAAGAGGACAGCGACGTAAGGTTTTCACTAGCGCCATCTAGCGACGTGGCTAGCTTCTCTTTCATGTCGTGTAGTTTTTTCTTGGTGTTGCTTCCCTGGATGCTGCTTCTGGTGTAGTTGTACTGGGTTTGCGAGGGAGACTTGAGCTCAAGGTCCGCATCGTTTCCTTCCTGGTCACCAGCTAGCAGCAATTTTTTCGGCATCCGTGTTGTATGCATCTTGGGCTTCGCAGAATTTCTGTGTACGAATAAATGCACGTATATATATATACACACACTCACGCACATATACATACACATGCACACACGGTATAAAACAAGATATGGTCATATATAAAACTCCTGCTGCATCACCAATATAGAGATTTAAAATATCAAACAAAATATGAGTTAACTGATGTTTATTTATTCAAATGACCTGAATTTCCGACCATCCGGTCTTGTTAACAGTTGATCATTGTGCATGATATATATAAATATACATTAACACAGATAAAACTTTAAACTTCTATACTCAAAATAGTACATATGAATGTATATAGCACTAGAACCTGCATGCATAATATAAGAAAACTAAATTATTATTTTATATTTACCTTAAAAAGTTTATTTGCTCTTGGGCCACGAACTCAGCTTTGCATCTTTCTAAAGTCGACTGTCCTTCAACCTCCACTCTGCTTGCTGTATCCAGTATTTCGATAAAATTTTGTTAAGAAAGTTTAGTTAGAGTCAATAAGACAAGAACATGCAGACACTCAGTTTGGGAAGGGATCCCAACCACCAATGAAGTCAGTTCCTCATTGGGATCTTTCAACAATTAGTTTAGAGCACATGTTAATTGGCTAACGCTCCATTTAGGAGTGTTCCCAACTTTGATATCATTAATGATTAATGATTAATTATTAATGATTGATAATCCTAACCATAACCCTAATCCTAACCTAAATGAACCACAAACTAATATATGACCATGACCATATATATATATAATATTTATGTTATTATGACCATTAATGACATTAAAGTTGGGAACACTCCTAATAGATCTATCACCCTGTTAATTGCTGTAGCTATTAAGCAGAGTGGGCAATTCCTGGTGTGCACGTGGATCTTATATTAATCAAATTCGTACGTGGCAAATCCTCTAATGAATCATAGTGCACTGGCACACATGCAAATATATTATTTGTACTCGCTACAGCTAAAATGACAATTCTGGGCTTTCCTCTGTACCTTTTTCATTGCAGAGAAGCTCCACTAGGTATTCAAGTGTATCTATATGTTTTACTGTTGCATTAAGAACTGCATGCTGAAGTAAAAAACATTAATTTATTACTACATTTATATATTGTTAATTTACTGAGCACTCACTGAATTTGAACGATATATAAAACTATATAATAATAATAACTGTACATTGCACTCATTGACTCAAGTCAATAGACACTCGCACATCATTAATTAATATGCCCATAGTTTTTTGTAATTATTTATGAGTAATATATATTGTTATGTGTTTGGTGACTCACTGACTATCTATAAACTAGAATATAGTTGCTTTCTGTATACCTTTGTGACTTTGTGCTGTGTAGCTCGGGCGTCAGGCAGTACTTTCTGCAAAGTCCTATAGGATTTTGCAATTCCAGCTCTCCATTTCGCATCAGATTCTCGGTGGCGCATTTTCTTTGTCATGTCTAACCTTGAAATTGAATGTTCTTTGCCTTCCCCAATCCCTTTTCTATTGCCATATGAAAAATCCATGCCTACAACATATGGCAGAATTTGCAGAGTAGGCCTATTTCAAGTATTTGAAGTTGATGGTTATAAATTATGCCAACCTGTAAATATAAGAACCTGCGAAAGAAATTAATTATTGCCAACGGCTGCCAACGTAATTATCCGTCCCCCCACGCTTCTTAATACTGAGTAACTCTAGCCTCTAGGCCTACACACATACATTACTCTACACTACAGCACATATAACATTCGCTGCAGTGAATAAAATAGAACAATTTATGTACACTTACTGTCTAATGCAATATCACACATAAA